GGTGACAAATGTACAAATGTGGATAAATTTCAATCAAATTTTGATTTGGAAGGCAGACCTAACGAATGAGAGTAAAATTGAGACATCAAGATTTGATTATATTTGGCATTTGACTTTTTTAACATCATGCATCAAGCTTTTTATTAACGATAAACTAAATGACAGGGGAAAGATCCATAGCAATCTTGAGGGAAGCTTCTTGTTTTGCTAGGTCGCCTCAAGAGGTTAACTCATTAATTAGTACGGAACATCATTTAATTTTTAAATTATTTTAGGTTAACATCTCTTCATTCTTAATTAGTTCGGTGGTGCTTTTTCTTTTTCAATAAATGCTTGTAGTTCCATGGCATAAGAGAAGCTCAACTATAGTGGGACCTAGTTCTCCATTCTACGACAACCCCATGCAATCTTTCTCACATTCCCTTGCACGTACGTAATCATGGTCGTCATCTACCTTTGATACTTTGACTTTATGTTCTCATTTTCATCAATAAATTTTAGGACTTGGACTTAGGAGTGGCAAACCGAACTTACCTCTTATGTTTTGGCATGCTCCATCACTAACCCACTAAAAATGAGGTGAGGCATGTTGGGCCCAACTTGTCATATTAGTTTAAACCCATTCAATAAATTATAGAATTTTGGGTTTTGAATTTCGAGTCCAAATAAAAAATGAGTTTTTTTTTTTCTTTAACTCTATCTGATAAGAAAAATTCTAGATCTTCCAAGTTGTATTCCAAAAATTCTTCCGAAGCCTTAAAAAATTATTTTAAATTATAAAATATTAAATTAAATAATTATTTTATAATAAATTTATTAAAAAATATAAATATTTTAAACATTCGAACGTGTTTCGAATTTTTGGATCGGAGGATGTAGTAATCCTCATATGATAAAGACATGGTCATAAATGAGTTAGGGTTGGACTAAGCCAATTGAGTCGTGATATGCTTGCATCCTTATTTGATAACTGATCCCAAGATTTAAGCTGCATACACAAGGCAGGATTTGAACCCCTGACCTTGCTTAAGCGTAGATCAACCCCTACCGCTGAACCACATGTCTGGGGTTTGATTAATACAAGTTTAATAATAAGAGAAAAAATGAAATAAAATTATATTTTTTATAAACTTATGTCAAAACAGTTAAATATTATATATATATATATATAAATCATTTCTTAAATGTAATAGAATAAATTAATTATTTATACTCTATTTATTACATTAAAATAAACATGTTAACAAAAAAAAAAATCACAATAATTATTTAACTTGAATTTTGAAAAAAAAAACAAATAACAAAAAGTAAAAAAAAAAATGTAAAGTTCATAGCTCACATAAAATTATATTTGGACATCAATTTAAAAGACTAAATTCACTATGTACCTTTTTAACTCAATCTATTATAACTAATAACATGCTCTAAACTAGCCTAGGTCAGATAATCTATTACAGTATAGCCAGTGTCATACAAATTGTATTGTAGTGGATCTAAAAGGTAATTAAGATTAAAAGAAGTTAAATGATCAAACAACTAAACTAATATTTCAACTCTTTGAAATTCCACATAACTTTAACTTTCTAATGGTAGAGATTTTTCAAAGCATGGTCAAATTCTGGAAACACTAATTGGATGGACTTGTTGATTTTAACTAAAAAAATTAATCGATAGTTCACTCAAGGAAAAAGTGATTGAAAACATAGCTGAGTTATAGTCGTAGGTTCCTCTTAGACTTGAATAAAACACTTTAATTATTATTATTTTAGTCTTTTTTATGAAACTAAAATACAAAATAACTGTCTCGTTTGGACGACACATAATAATTTCGATAATTTTTTTTTTATAACAATCGGTCTTTTGCATATAATATTGTTTACGGTGGATTTCGTTTTGTGGATCCTTTTTATTTGGACTAGTACTACAACGGTTTCAATTTAGGTATGTAATTTAAAAATCAGAAAATGGAACAGACAAAGGAGTAAGAAGATTTAGTGATTACTTGTTTCTAAAGATTCTTCAATAATTAACAAGCAATAATTTCCAGACATATAAATGCTAAGATGAACAGAATGGATAATTGAGATATTTGCAATACAAATCATAGTTCAACTTACATAACGTTCCAGAATTACAATGCTGAAATAATCTAACTACGTGGATTTAAAAGAGATAAACTAAGAAAACTACGCTAATTCTACTCTTAAAGAGCAAAGAAAAGTGGTCAAGAAATTGGTACCCAGCAGATGCGTGCACGGAAGCCATATGCGCAGGCAGAGAGTGCTTACAAAAATGTGAGTATGAAATTTCCGACCTTTGTGAAGGTGCGTAACTTCTGTATTTATAGAGCCAATCAAGAACGGTTAATTTCATGCATGTACGCCACTAAGGGATAACCGCTATCCACTATGCTTGTTACGTGACTCTAAATTGTAACTTCCCATAACCGTTCGCCTCACGCTTCAACTTTACTCGATGCGACCCTTAATAACCACTTTAGTGTGCCTTAACTGTTAAGATCCCTTCAATAACAACTCTACAATTTCGAGTTACTATTACATTCCCGAGTTGCTATCGAGACCGCGTTCTAGCTTAACCCCTTAATGAACAATAGATAAATTTTCGAGCACTCCTTTGTTCAATTTAATTAATTCTATTCGAACACATTCACATGTGAACAAATAAGGCTCTCAATTTAATCTTGGTAGGTGTTTGACCTTTATCTTTTGTTTCGAGTAGTTTTTACACCCTTTTTCGAGTCACATGATTTTCGAGTAAGCCTAACAAATATCTAGACTTATTCATTGTTATTATGTGTGAGAATGTGTATTTTCACTTTGATGTACTTTAAAATAGTGCATCAAGTTTGTAACGTTGTTGTCGAGGATTGATTAGTCAATACTAGCTAATAGGAGTTGAGAATGCTGACGTTTTTATTTTATTTTATTTCAATTTTTATTCTTTTTATTTTTTGCTTAATTTTTTTATTATTATTTTGATTTATGCCAATTTTGTAAGTATATAAGTGAGAAACAACATCTTTATTACTCTACAAGTTAGATTATAAGGTTGAATTAAGTTTAAACCTACTTTCTAAGATGATATCAGAGTTAAAATATTTAATTACTTATATATAAAATAATAAAATAGTTAATAATATAATCGATCAGTAATTATTAATTAACCAATTACCAATATTCATTCTATTAAAGTAATTATGAATGTTAAAAAATAATAATAGTTATTTAACTATATGAATTATTTCGAGATTTCTTTACCATTCTACCCTATGTAGTTTTTTTTTTTTAATTCGTATAACTTTTATTTTTATCTTATATGTTAAAGTGAAACCAATTTTTAAACTCTTTTCTTTTTTATTAAATTTCTTTAGTCATTATGTAATCCCCAATTAGAGATGAAAGGGAAGGATTTTTTTTTTGCTTTTTTAATCCTTATAGAAATTTATAGTAGTAGCAAGGGCAATTTTAGATATAAAATAATATTTTATTTCACATATATGGCTAGTTCATCATATAGAATATCATATGTATATGAGTTGAGAAAAAATTAAAATCCCACGTAAACTAAAAATAAGATAAATAAAGAGTTTGTAAATAAAAATAAAATTTGTCTTTTATAAACTAATTTTATAAGGTTGAATCATTTTTTAATATATAACTTAAGAGATCCAAATCAAATGCTTCGAGATTACTTTGCACTATCCAAAAGGTGTATGACAACATTTGTAGGCTGACAGTGGAAGCTAATAATTTTGAATTGAAGCCTTCACTTATTTTTATGGTGCAACATATGCTGGACACAGTAGAGAGAGGGACTTGCATTAGATGACCATTTTGGTCATTTTAAGAGGTTCCTCTGGATCACTAATACTGTAGTGTACAATGGTGTCCCTTAAAATGTCATATGGTTGGAGTTGTTTTGTTCATTTGGCGAGAAGAGCCCTTAATTGACACTTTTCATTGTCAGATCGTTAAGTCACAACCTGGGAAGATTGCACCAACATGTTCTTAACTAAATATTTCCCTCCTATATGCACAAACCAATTGAAGAGGGAAATATGATATTTTGTTTAGTACGAGCAAGAGTCCTTATTTGAAGCTTGAGAGAGATTCAAGACCTGCCGAATTAGTGTCCCATCATGAACACTACTTGAGGAAACTTATTCAAATTTTCTAAAGAAAAGAAAATAACATATTTGTAAAATGACAATTTTTTCGAATAAAATAAGATATAATAATTTTAGTCGTATATGTTAAGCTTTTATAGCTAACCTTATGGTTCAGATCCCCATATTAGTATGTTTACTTATGTATGCAAATAATATCTGATTATAAAAGGAAAATAAAAAATTAAAACCAATAAACTCTTGTTTTCTTCAAGAGTCTGTAGTAAATGAGATAGTAAAATTAGGACAATGATTAATCTCTATTTCATTGTAGGGGTGATCAAAGTGAATACATAAAAGAGATAAAAACAAATATAGAGTATAGATATAATAGGTGATATGATAAAAAATAAAGAAATAATAAAATAGAAATAAGATGATAAAAGTAAATCATTACATTTTTCATGTTAAGATGATTAATATAAAACATAAAAAATTTAATATTAGAAAAGTATATAACTTTTATCCACACTCTTTTGTCATCTTTGTGGCCATAGCTTTATATGATTTGATGGGTCTTATCTTGATGAAGCCACACTTCTTACATGTACTTACAATGATAGTGTAATTAAATAAAACTACATCTAAGTTTTGTAAAATAAATAAATTGTCAACAAACTTACAACGATAGTAAAGGAAACTTGGAGAGGCGTAATTGTCTCATGTTAGAGGCTCACATTTTGTATTCTAAACCAAAGCCCATTTCAGAAGCAGAAATATGCGCACATTCATGAATGTAGTGATCCTATCTTTATGCATCTCTCACATGTGGAATCGCACCACACTATACATATATATATATACACACATCTTGTGAAACAAGATCAACAAGACCCTCCAATTACATCAATTATTCTCCTAACTTTTTCTTTGTCAAATCAAGCAAACATGTCAAGTGCCCAGCAAAGCTTCAGTGCAGGTCAAACCCAAGGCCAGACTCAGGTGAAGAAACCACAAAATTTAGTTACATTGTCAACTTATGTAACACTTTCTACTATATTTTCAAATTCAAGATAAGTGTTGGTTAATAATCTTTGACTATATGTGGTTTAGGGTAAGGCAGAAAATATGATTCAATCCACAAAAGAAACAGCTTCGGCAGCTGCTGATAAGGCTCAGTCAGCAGCTAACACAACCGGCCAAACTGCTGAACAAAACAAGGAGGAAGCTGCTGGTTTTCTCCAACAGGTTGCTATAATTCATTTCTTTTTCTTTAATCAATAAAAATTATAATGACGACATCATAATTTAAACTTGTACATATTATTCCAATTTCTTATCACTAGGCCAAATTTATCTGATATCACAATTTTGGACAATTTTTTTTTTCTTTAAAGAACTTTTGTTGAATAAATAAAATGTTACAGTTTTCAAATGATAGTTGTGTTTGCAAGTGCAATTGCGGTATAATCCTTGGCGTTGATGCGGTTAGTTGAAAATTCTTTATATTACAATTGTAATTGCATGTGCAAAGCACAATTTAAAACCATAAAAAATACTGGTGAGGAATGAGTCTCCTGGTTAAGAAATCAAAGCTTTTATAACAATGTGTAACATTTAATGTTATCGCTATTTCATTAGTGTTTTAATAATTTTTTTTTTTCTATTAGGAATTGTATAACTAGTATACCTCTAGGACACTCGTTAATAACAAACTTGTTGAATTGTTTGTTTTGAAATTTTGGAACGTGTCATTATTAAGGTTGATTATATGTTCTTGTTGCAGACTGGGGAGCAAGTGAAGAGCATGGCTCAAGGTGCTGTGGATAGTGTGAAGCACACTCTTGGAATGGACAAGAAGTGAAATCACTCTAGGAATGGACAAGAAGTGAAATCACTCTTGGAGTGGACAAGAAGTGAAACTAGAGATCATGATTATTATATATATATTTGTCAGAGCATTTAGCTGTTACTTCAATTCAAATTGAAGAAAATAATACATTTGTTTATTTGTTGTTAGAGATTCTTGCTTTTCCCTATTAATTGTTAGGGATCAGCATGTTAAGTATGTATTGATTAATGATTGTGAAATTGTCGAAGGAAATCCAATTTCAATTGTAATAAAACAACTTCTTTATTTATTCTTGATTTTAGAGCTAAGTTTTCTCGACTATTCAATAATAAGACTCGATACTTTTGCTTTATAATTCTCTCCTTCGGTCTATTACACACATAGTTAGGATTAATAATAATAAAAATAATAAATTTATAGAAGAAATTTTCTCACGTGAAACACTATTCTCTATATAACACACAATTAGATGGGTTAATCAGTTTAGTAAAGAAATTTTTAGTTTATGTTTCTCGATTCTTTATTCTATTAATTTATTAAGAAAATACTTTTTAAAAGATAAATTTTAAGAAGTAAATATAAATTCTCTTTTTTTAAGTAAAAAGTTACATATTTTTAAATAAATAGTTTAGACAAGCACATAGCAAAAAAAATGTTTATTTCATTTAATAAATATTTTTAAAAAAAATATATTTTAAAAGACAATCAATCTCTTTTTCTTTTCTAGCAATGTAGCCTCTCATCCATCAATTATCATCTTGTCATAGAAATATACTTTTTTATTTCTTTTATCAATTAAGGCATGATTGCTTAATTAAGCAACATAACTTACATGTGTTAAACACTTGATATGCTCCAATGCTAAAAATTGAGAAACATTATTTTTTAGTATTTAAGATTTGCGATAAGATTTGGCATTAGAGAAATTCAAATTCTAAAATGTAATTATAGTTAGTTAATTAACTTGATTACAAGTTAACCTAATCTTAGTTACATTTCACTATGGTTGGTCTAATTAGCATTACAAGCTATCAAATTCTTTATATATCTTTTCCCTTCTTGTAACTCACCACTTTTGAGCTTTTTATGAAAAATAACATTGAGTTTTCTCTTTCAAAAGTCTAATTCTCTTTCATGGAGAAACTTTCTCCTTATAAACTTTTATCAAGGAATTTTTCTTTATAGCAAGTTTTTCAACTTTTTTGTTTATCTTCTTTCAAATGATGTGTCCAATTCTCCTCTATCATTTACATGTTTCTTTTGAGTTTAAAGATTCATGGAAGAAAATTGAGAGCACATTGAAACTAGTTGAAGAGACACATCAATTATCTCCAAACTATTTTGATATTAAATAGTGATATTTTTATGAGAGAATCCTATTTAATATCAAAGTTGTTAATAAGTTTTGAATACCTATTTAATGATTTATGAAATTAAACTTAACGTAATTGTATTATAAAGAATTCCTCAAATTAATAGAAGTTGTATTAACAACTTTGATATTAAATGGTATTCACATATTATTGAAATCTTTGTTGTTTAATGTGTTTATCATACATTGGAATACGATCAAATTTTCACATCTTTAAAAATTATAGATAACATTTATTTATATATACACAATAATTTCTATTTTTAAAATAATTAAAAATAAAATTATGATAATTTAGTTTTAAAATTAACAATATTTTATTAATATAGAGACACATATGTGTAACTCTTAATGCACAACATTCCCAAAAGGAGATCCAACATTGAAATCTCTATTTTTTTTAATATCAATAAACCTTTTTTAAATAAAAATTTATTTAATTGAATATCATCAAATTTTGATATATTCTAAAAATAAATAAATTTAATAAAAATTTATTTAATTAAATATGGTAAAATTTTGACATATTCTTAAAAAAAATATAATTATCTTGAATATTATAAAAAATTATATCTAAATGACAAAAAATTTTAACGACAATTTTTTTAAACGTTTGAAATTCTAATTTATAGGCCCATAATTGTTAATAAAAATAAAATTATATTTAATATTCTTTTAAAAAAGTGAGATCTCATCCAGTAAAAAATTTTCCCGGAGAGGATCATTCCGTGTAAGACTCCTCTTAATAACTATTAAAGGATATATATATTTTTTGGTATAATAACTATTAAAAGATGAAATTAAACATATAAAAAATATCTCCACTAAAAGTTAGTATGATCTATTAGTGTCACCGTCCATCGACAGTTGACAAGTTTTCCAGAACCCACCAGCGTTGCCCGAACTTACCACACTTCTCTGTTCTCGGCCACTATCATCCATTTTCACCCTTTCTTTTCATCTAAATTACACAACTTGCCACTACCTTAGTGCCTTTCTTCTTCTTCTTCTTTCTTATTTCTATTTCTCCCACTCACTCTCTTCTCGTCTCGCGTAATGTGATGTAACCCAAAATGGCTTCTCTTCAATTCCGTTACGTTCTCTCTCCTCTCGCGCCCGCGCTTCCGCTATTTTCCCGCACTTTCCCGCCTCGTTTTCCGGCAAAATTGCGCGTTTTCTCCGGCGCGCGGAGGAGGCGCGTTCTCGCGATCTGCTGCGCCTCGAAAACCGGTTCCCAGCTCGAGAGAGTCGCGGTTCCCGAGGACGATGAACGGCCTCCGTTCGATATCAATCTCGCGGTTATTCTCGCGGGCTTCGCCTTCGAAGCTTACACCACTCCCCCTGTATGTTTTTCCTTTTCCTTGTTTTCGTTTGGTTCCGGAGAAAGTGGAAGAAACTTTAGGCGAAAAGTGAGGATGTTTGAACTCAAATGGTTGTAATTGTAATTGAAATGCTAGAAGATTTTATTTCGTCCTTTTTGTCCGGGTTGTTTAGTTCCTGGAATTATATTGATCGATCATTTTATAATGGAATTGTGACTTTGTTTAAATAGAGTTTGTTTGGATAAGGTTATTGCAAATACAATAGGAGAAGAAATCAGAAGTAAAATGAAATAAGTTTCTATACTAAAGGTAGTTTATGCATAGATTTTTTTTTTATCCATCGGAATTACAACAAGATAGATGGAATCCGGAATTCAAATTTAAGACTTTGTGTTTAAGAGAATATAAGACTTTGTGCATTCTACCGTAACTTCCAATCTGCCGATCCTAGTTCTTGGAGAATTTAATGTAAGAGAGTAGTTTATGCATAGATTAAAAAAAAGTTTTGAAAGAATTAATATAAGGGAGCTCTTTCAAATTAACTTATACATATTTAGTTTATTGAAAAAATTATTTTAATTTATTTTTATATTTATGTAAAAGTTTTTCCGAAGTCAATTAACATATTTATAAATGCTTGTAAGGGAAAAAAGTAAGAAGGTAAAATGAATTGAGCTTCTCTCATAAGTTAAAGTCCACTTATGGATATCTAATCTCGAAGAAGTAAGATAAGAGTTTTTATTTGCAGAAGCAGATTTTATGTTGCAAGAGAAGTTCAATTCATTTTCATTCATAGTTTCTTTTCTTATAACTTATAAGTGTTTATGCTTTAAATTTTTGCTGATCTTCTAGTATCAAATTAGTCCCTAAACCCTAAAATTATGATGATTGATCATTTTGTTCCTGAAATTTAGAAAAAATAAATTTCGGTTCTTGGAATTGACAATTATTCCTGAGTTTGTCAATTTGATTCCTAATTGACAATCATTTTAGGCCCTAACTTTGGTGTACGTTATTTGATTTGGTCCTTTGTTTTGTTGCTTGTCAATTAATTTGATCTCTATGTCATAGACCAAATAGAGTAATGGTTGTCAAGTTGAAAGAGTAAATTGGTCGTCCCCTATTTATCTTGTTTGTGTATGCTATAAAACATGCAATGAACGAGAGTAGTTGTTACCATGTAAAAATTTAAAAATGTCACTGTGACCTTATATTTTTCTTGCTGTTTCTTCATGAGATTGTGGGTAGAATGGTATAAATTGGTCATAATGTTACGCTTGAGATGAGATAATTTTTTTTTAACAGTGTAATGAAAGTCATCTTCAAACCTTTTTTTTTCTTCCCATTATAACATGTTTCAGGAAAACATGGGCAGGCGTGAAGTTGATGCTGCTGGTTGCAAGACAGTCTACCTTTCTGAGTAAGTGTCAATTGCCTTTCATGGTTGCACTTAGTTGTTCTTTCTGTCATCAGTTTAAAATATTCAAATGCATTTTTTATGGAATCCAATGGTGTCATTTGATCTATGTAGTTGCCCCTATCTAATCAAACAAGGCTTGTTGTATTTAATTTCAAGTTCCTTCCTCATTAAAATAATGGCATGTTTAACAATTTTTTTCCGGTATATACAGGGAATTTGTTCATGAAATTTATGATGGTCAACTCTTCATAAAGTTGAAAAAAGGGTTCAACTTTCCTGCCATGGATCCATGGGTTGGTTATCTTATTTAAATTTACTGCCCTGAATATAGCTCTGTGATGAGATGAAATATGCACTACTTGTTATTTTTCCTTGTATCTGACAGTTATCCCTGCTGCCCCCAATTTTGTATCAAATTCATACAACTACTTATTTATCTATGATTTCTCTTATTGCTTGATATTTGATCTTCTTGTGTCATCCAGGGAACAAGTGACCCTTATGTGGTCATACAGATGGATTCTCAGACTGCTAAAAGCAATATCAAATGGGGGTGAGCTTGCATCTTATTTTTGTTTTGGCCATTTCACTTGTTCGAAAACCACCATCTAATGGTTAAAAAGAATTTAGTGGTCTGAATTGGTTATGGTTCAGAGTCAATGCCTCTGCAAAATTTGTACTATGTGACTTATTTAAAAAACATTCAACTTGTCCCTGGAAACATTTTTCTAATTTTCTGAATCCGGATTTTCATTTTCTTTCAAATTTGTGCATTAGCTAAGTTGAATCAAGAACATTATGTGGGGACCATTGTTTTTTATTTCATAAAATTCCCACTGAACGTGTCTCTTTCACCTTCTTTGCTAGAATTAAATGTCTTGACTTCAGTCCTACATTTATATACTGCTTTTTGAATTACTATCGTATTAAGTCGGTACATTGAGTTCATTGATGGGAAATTAATTAATGGCAGGACAAAAGAGCCAACATGGAATGAGGGGGTTACTTTTAATATTAAGCAGCCTCCAAGCCAACCTTTACAGGTAAACACATGATCTCTCCCTCTCTCTTGCTTCTATGGACACATACATCATACATATTAGTGGAATGCACAGTCGAAAGAATCCCTTCATAACAGATAAGTTGAAAGTGAATTGAAACTTGCATGGAATTGATTGGCATGTCTTGATTCACAAAATAATATAGTAAAACTAATCATTACTTTGTACTTATACTAAATAGATATGAATAAGCCCTTCTTTCAAAGTCTTCTATTTCTTGTATACTTGGACTACTTATTAGAACCTGATACAATTGACTTTAATTTGCTTCAGTGAACGTTCATAGTTGACTTGAAGTTAGGTTCTCTTCTTAACTTGATAGTTATGTGCTTCAGACCTATATCATACTCTATAGTAGATATGTGTCCAGACAATATTATCAATGGATGATACTCTCATGTTCATTGTGAGTGTGACTGTGAATTTAACTGCTACACTAACTAGTATCTCATTAATTCTTATTCCGTACTTTTGGTCCCCAAATTATAATAATCCACAATTTTGGTCTAACCATCAAATTTGCATGTATTAACTGTTTTAATTTAGAAAAATTGCTCATGAAGAAAGTGATAACTCAGTGGTATTCAATCTATCATGTTATTGCATGAATTTGACAAAAAAAAAGAAAAAAAAACTATCACCCTGGAGATTATGTATCAATGCATTATAGGTGTGCAAATTTGATGGTTGGATCAAAATTGGGAAACCAGAATTGCCTAATTAAAAATAGGAAGACCGGAATTGTGGATTAAGAATTAAAAGGGGACTAAAAGTACAATTTAGTCTAAAAAAATAAAGATTAAAAAGGGAAAATATGTATAAAATTACAAAGATATGCATAATTAATGCTAAAGAATTCAAATTTATTATTTAGTAAAACAGAAGTTAAGGGAATGTCCACTTTGGGCATTTTCTGTTTTCATTTTCATAGAAAATAAAAAATGGTAGTGAAAATATATTTGATTTGATTTTAGAAAATGTTTCCTTTAAAATCAAATTTAAAATTCATCCCAAATAAAAAAAAATTTCAAAAAATAAAAAAAATGCAACTTCTGCAGCCAGCCATGTCTTCCTTGTGTCTGGGTGCATTCAGATGCTAAAATTGCCCCTAGCGAGCTCTAGTTCCAATCCAGTTACTTTGCTGGTGGCAATTTACTCTTTAACTGATTCCAAGCATGTGTTGTTTCATGCAACCTCTATTTGTTGAAGTGTGAGCAAGTGTCTTTTTTGTGAAGTGCAAGTGATGACATGTGAATGGCAAAGGTCCATGAACCACCACAAGTCCACAACATACTGTAAATATGAAATGGGGACCTTCTTTTTGTTGCCAAGTAGCCTCTAGAAGACCCAGTGATCCTTTTGGTGGAAGATCACATGAACAAGGAAGCGGTTTGTCATTTTGAAATTAGGAAGTCAAATAAACATTTTATAAACCTTGAAAAATTGAAAATGAAAACAAAAAATGAAAATAGAAAACATGTTCTCAAACTTTGTCATTATTCCTTAAGGAAGAGAGGACACTAAGAGATGTAACCACTCTCAAGAAAATGAACTTCAATTTAATATATAGGGGTTGGATTAAAATCTTGGTAAAGTTAGATAGACATCACCTAACCATATGTGTGAACCTGCACAAGTGGCAACATCTAACTGTAGGTGCTGGCATGACTGATTGTGACCTGACAGTGTTAGTTGTGCCAGTATGAACACATGCACATCTAGTGATATGCAAGGGTTACTAGCTTCACTTGTATATTTGATGTTTATTATGTTAGTTAAACTTGAGGATTACTGTGTTATTCTGCCTACAACCCCAGAGGAATTAATCATCTTTTACCATATATAGTTTACATGGTGATGTAAAGTTCTCTTGTATTCCTCTTCATGAGGCAGTAGTCCATTTGCGTTTCTTGTCCTTTTTTATGCTCTCTGACTTCTGATTGCTAGTAATAAAAGTTGTATGTCATATAATTATATAACATAATAAATGATAAATGGAATGCATAAAGTTATTTATAACATATGTAGATTTTTAATTTCTGTTTGACATTCCGCTCATCCTTATTGTGCTAATTATAACTTCATCCCATGTTTAAATTTCCACCCTCCTTTACTGTTTCTCTTAAAGTCATTATGTCATAGTGCAGATTGTATTGTCTTATAAATTAATCAAACACTTGCTTTGAGGTATTATTATCTGAATATAGAAAAGAAAAATCGTAAAAATATATGTTCAAAAATAAAATTATCTTGAAAAGATCATGTCAATCTTCTAACAACTGGTTTTATATCTTAGGTTGCAGCTTGGGATGCAAACCTTGTGACTCCTCACAAACGCATGGGGAATGCAGGTGTTGATCTGGAATGGCTTTGTGATGGTGAGGACCAGAAAATCTTGTGACATATAGTTGGTGCAGTGTTGAAAGACTCTTATGTTGCTTAAAATTTTCTTATGGGTTGAATTTCTGCTCTATTTTCTTTCATACTTGTTCAACCGACATGATTATGTGGAATTTTAACATTGATAAAAGTAGTGTAAAAAATTAATTACAATTTTTTTTGACACCACTTACAAATTTAATTAGAAGTGCATAAAATTTATATTTATGGTTACACTTATGGCTGCAAAAATGCATTTGTTAAAGGAGATGTGCATGAAATTCTGGTCGAGTTGGAAGGAATGGGTGGTGGCGGAAAGGTTCAGCTGGAGGTATGTTTCTTTTATTGGAAGAGAATAAAACCCAATAATAGTGATTTATATTATGGGGAAAAGTTATTCACCATTTGAATTTTAGTGGACAGCATGATGTCTATGCAGTTTAATTCATGTATAGTTTAGTGGAAAAATTCTGTATCTATGTTGTAAGTTGTTAAAATGTCATATGCCAATATATAATTACATGTTTTATCACTTGCATTGAACTGTTTCATCTTAAATGATCTTGTATTTTTTTAATAAATCTATAGGTTTTAATGAAAATTATAACTTTTTCTTGAAGTTCATTCAAGATTTTTGAGATGAGCTATATGCTTAATTTGGTGTAAATGCAGTTGTGTAAATAATGCAAGGTTACATTTTAATAATTCATAACTTTTTATTTTTGTAATAAATTTTGGATTTTAGGTCAAATATAAAACCTATGATGAAATTGATGAAGAGAAAAGATGGTGGAAGATACCTTTTGTTTTAGACTTTCTAAAGATAAAGGGTTTTGATTCTGCATTCAGAAAGGTTATTGGTTCTGATTCAGTACAGGCCCGTCAATTTGTGGAATATGCATTTGGGCAGTTAAAGTCTTTTAACAATTCATCTCTTCTGAAGGGTCAGATGTCTGATATTAATAATGATAAGCATGACACTGAAGCTGCTTCTATTTTCAATTTTCCTTCTAACGAAGCTGCTAGTTCTGAAGCCTCTAGTGAAGCCTCTAGTGAAGCCTGCAGTGAACAGAGGAACTCAAAGGAATTTCACAAACATGAGAGTGATGCTGAAAATGGACATGCTTCTGAATCATCAACAAAATTTAGTGAGGAAGAGATGTCAAATCAAATTTTTTGGAGGAATTTTGCTAATGTTATTAATTCTAATATTGGTCAAAAGCTAGGTCTTTATGTGCCTGAGAAATTTAAGTGGGATGGATTGGAGTTTTTAAACAAAATTGGCTCACAGTCACAAAATATGGCTGAAAGCTTTTATGTTCAATCTGGACTTGCAATACCTGAAGGCAAAGATGATACAAATGATAAAACAAGTGACCAATCTACCATTGCTGCAATTCAGTCTTCACTTCCAGAGGTGAAAAAAGCAACACAGAATTTGATGAGGCAGACTGAGTCAATTTTAGGAGGTTTAATGCTTTTGACTGCAACAGTTTCCAAAATAAAAGATGAAGGGCTTTCTTCAGAAGAGAGGAAAATTAAAGAAGATTCTACCAAAGCAGGAGGTGATGGTATAGAATATACTTCTAGTCAGAATTTTCCTAGCTCACAAAATGGATTAGTGTTAGATGATAAAAAAACTGAAGAGATGAAAGAACTTTTTTCTACTGCTGAAAGTGCCATGGAGGCTTGGGCAATGCTGGCCACTTCACTGGGCCAACCTAGTTTTATTAAGTCTGAGTTTGAAAAATTATGTTTCTTAGATAATGCATCCACAGACACACAGGTGTTTTGTTATATCCATTCCTCTTCTATAAATCAACTTTACTTCTTTATTTTTTATGAACTTTTTAATTGGTAATGTAACATCCGAGAATCTATGTGATATATTGCCAATATCTTATTCCATGCACTGCTTTCTATTTTCTAAGTCATTAGAACTTTCAGGTTGCAATTTGGCGTGATTCTGCACGGAGAAGGTTAGTGGTTGCTTTTAGGGGAACAGAACAGGTAGTTCACATTCTTGTTCGTTTTGGTGGAATACTATTTCTGGTTTGAGTTAAAAATGCTTATACTTTTGATTTTTCAGTCTCAATGGAAGGACTTGAGAACTGATCTAATGCTTGTGCCAGCCGGGTAACATTCATTTCCAACATAGTTGTGACTTGTTTAGTGTGTGTTTAGATTATAGTTTACAAAATGGAGTTTGGTTGAATATAATTTTTTGAACTTAAGTTTAGCTAAGTTAGTATAACTTGATTTATGTTTGGATACTTTTATTAAAATGAAACGTGTTTGGATGATATTAATCAAAAGCACTTTTAAATGTATAATTACTCAAATGGGTATGAATTTTATAATGTGATTATAGTATTACTTATTTCATTATTTTTTTATATATATTTGAAGTGACAATATATTATTATTCCAATTCAAAAAAAATTGGTACTAATATTATAAATTAGAAAAACAAGTTTATGAATAATGTTACAATATATAAATAAAAATATAATTTTCAAGTGTGCTTTAACAACTTAAAATAACCAGAACACCAATTTATTCAATAATAATAATAATAATTGAAAAGTCACCTGGTGAAAAGAAAATGAACCAGTCCACTAATTAAAATAGAGAAACCTGATTTATAAAAGCCTATGCAAGAAGTTGGTGTGGGTAATATTGTCTCTATAATACTATGAAATTTAAAATGCTTGAAACTGGTTAGGTTTAACGGAAACCCAAGGAATGGGTAGCTTTGGGCCCAAGCCCAACTAACTTTTAGGAGATAATAACATTCAGTTCAACTGAGTTTCCAAACAAAGGTACAACTTTCTATGAAAGAATAATGTGTGTTGGGGTGTTCAAACGGGTAACCAAAAACAGTCTTAGTTCAGTGTTAAAATAATATTTGGCCAACAAAAGTCACTTCTCACAAGTACAGATTAATCTTTGGTTGTTACCTTTGGACACTGCCTGGACCGTGTCTATGGACCTAAAAAAACACACCCTTAGTGGTTTGGTTTAAATTTTGGCTATGAAAGTTGTTGTTTTCTGGTCGCTATATCTATCTTTTTTTTTTTTCTTTCTAGTATCTCACCACTTTGATATAGTTTTAATTTTGTGAGAAATTATGCCTGTATGATATTTGATTGTGTAATTATGTTAGACACTTAGACGCTGCTTAATATTTTTGTGTGATATATTTGACTTTAAAACAAAATAATTGGTAAAAAAATTGAAAGAGATTAAATTAAAAATAAGGAATAAAAGTTATAGAAAGCAATATATGCATGTTTTGGGGACAGCAGCCAGAAAGATATTTTATCTACTTCATTATTGAAAAAACACATAATTGTTTTTGTTGTTGTTATTGACTATTATTACTTCAAAAAGTTAATAAAATTCTCAATTATTCATATTCTGTCATTCTGTTAGTTTTTGAGATTATGCCATTTTAGAGGCCCTCAAAAAATATCCATTGGTTCTATGTCAATCATAATTAATTTAGGGATTGAACTAAAATGCTTTTGATTTTACCAGATAATTTTATTCCACAACTAACTTTGATATGACTTCGATAGGCTAAATCCTGAAAGGATAGGTGGAGATTTCAAGCAAGAGGTTCAAGTATGTTGACTGTTGGCAGGTTTATATGTGTCAGACATGTTTAGATTTCTAGAAGGCTTTGAGAACATAAGATTCATCCATTGTTCATGGTTCTATGATTATTGCAGGTTCACAGTGGTTTTCTAAGTGCTTATGATTCAGTAAGGACCAGGATCATTTCTTTAATTCGACTTGCAATTGGTTATGTGTAAGTTGTTCTTGTTAAGAATGTTTATCACACCAAGCACACTGCCTTAAAAATCATTCTGTATTTCTTAGAATATTTTGAAAATTCCTTTGCTTTCTAACTTGAAGCTTTTAAAGTGAGTCATCAAGTGTTTTTATGAATCATGTGACATAAATGAATTACATATTGTAATGAACAGGCTACACCAAAAGCATAAGTTTTGGGTGTACATTACATCTCTAAACACCTCACTAGAGCCCATTGGACTTGAAGTTTTGCTGGCCCCTTTTTAGCATTTGTTGAAATGTTTTTAATTTAGAAGAATGGGGTGGGGTTGAAGGGTTGAAATCCTAACTACTTGGTTAATGAGGCTTTGATACAATGTCACGAGCCATCCGATAAGTTAAGCTGTTAAGGTGAAGGCACATGAATGATTCTCAAACAGAACATTTCAATATTTTCCTTGACTTTTCTCCTGAAGAAAGTAGTGAGGATCACAAATTGCCTGCTGGATTGAATCGCCAATTTATTCAAATTCTGCTTATGCTGTTCTGTATGATTTGGCACAAATTTTCCTCATAAAGCCTTTAAGTATTGACACATAATGTTGATTAAGTTCATTGTCTTTTACATGTTACTATGTGATAGGTTCTATATTAGGTTACAATTTTGAATTAGGCAGTTATTACTAAGGAGGTGACTGTTATAGTGTTATACACATGGTTTGGCAGGCTTGGAGAAGGGAATTAAGGTGTCAGTTAGTTGCTTCTGGTGTTTGAAGGAGGAAACTCCTCTGTAATCAGAAACCCTTGTGTGTTGAGTTCCTGTATGGAAATCTAGTCAATAAACCGGATTGTTTCCGTGATACAAATACTGTTTTGTGTTTCTAATTATTGAGTCCAACAGAAGTCAATAGTACATCTCAAAATCATATTTCACATTAACAAACAAAAAGTACTTTTTGTGACAGAAATGATAACTCTGAGCCACTCCACAAATGGCATGTTTATGTGACTGGTCATAGTTTGGGTGGTGCATTGGCAACCTTGCTTGCTCTTGAACTTTCATCTAATCAATTAGTGAAGTAAGTTTATTATTTCTCTCAAGCATTTCTTCCATTTATAATTTGTTTTAAGTTTTTTTTTCTTTTTTTTTTTTTATGCAAATGGGCATGCATTAACATGTGTTTATGGACCAAATGTTTTATTTAGATTAATTAATTCTACTGTATGTTATACTCATTATGTTAAATATTATGCATCTGGGTTTTGTACCTACCAATTAAGCTTATATCTGCTGTGGTGTGTTGTCAGTAGTGATGGTTCTTTATATTTTTAGTAGAAAAGAGGGATAAGGAGAAAGGAAGAGTCATATTTTGAGCATGAATTGCCTGTTTTATAATTTTCTCAAATAATTTTTTCATTGGTGAAATTGTCCTTTACATCAATGATGTATCCATACATTATATGCAGATAGCTACCACTGAAATTTGCTAATATTATTTACCCCTTGTATTTCCTAAATTTCCTCCCTATTTAGCCTGCATCTTGAAATGTAGCATGTAGTTTAAATTGGAGGTCTTGTACTTTTTGGGATTTTTTATTAATGAGTCAATAATCAATAACTTCCATTTGGGTATCTATACATAACAATAGGCTGGATCAAGGTACCCCATTGAAGAAGTTTATGAAACTATGAGGACCCATTAAAAATTCGCTAAAAGTATACGAACTGCAAATTAATTTACCATAATATTTACGTTGCAGATTAATTTACCATAATATTTACATTCACTCTTTCTGCCCCATTTTAAATTTATGGTAGTTATTGACTTACTGTATGCAATAATCATTTCTTTGTCTACCAGGCGTGGAGCAATTTCTATTACTATGTATAACTTTGGTTCTCCTAGGGTTGGCAACAAAAGATTTGCAGAAGTTTATAATGAGGTTGGATAATAGTATAACTATTTTGTTAATGTTGTTTTTATTGCTTTGTTTAATGCTATATTGAATTTATTATCTATTGTGTCCTTAGCATTTCTAAATTTTGAACCAACCTGTATAACCTGGAGGCATTTTGTCTTCTCAATTATCATGTTGTTGACTTGTTTGTTTCTCTTTCTACATGTGTAAAACAGCTGACTGTTTTCTTCCTCTATCTGCAGAGAGTTAAAGATAGCTGGCGAGTTGTGAATCACAGAGATATTATACCTACCGTTCCTAGGTTAATGGGTTATTGTCATGTAGAGCGACCTGTATTTCTTGCTGCAGGGGTTTTGAGAAATTCCCTAGTGAGTGGTTATTATAATGCTTTGTGCACACATACCTCTTTATTTTAAATTAAAATATATGAATAAAATCTTTTCTGTATCATCTACTGTCGTCAGGCTTTTGTTGACAATTTTAATAGCCTTATTGATTTGGCTATAAATGGAAATATTCAAGGAAAATGACTCAAATGGAGTTCTTAGTAAAAATAGTAGAAACAATTAACCACTTAAGTGGTTGATTGGGTCCATAAGTGGTTCATTATTTACCACTGGTGAGCATTGGCAACCAATCTGGTAGTTAGCTATCCTGAAACTGTAAACATTTTTGCCAAATTTTCTTACCTTATGATTTTCCCTGTTCATTATTAATTAAGCTTATTATAATATGAATAATTACCACATTTTTGTTTCCATTATGTCTTAAGCATACGTGCTTTTGGATGCTGTTTCTTAAACAATCAATGAATGAAAGCATCAGGGTTGAATAATTTGAATGTTTTCACGATAAATTTGTCACCATCTATCAGGAACTCTGTGTTCTCTTTATGTATATAAATTAATATATTATTTTCGGTCATACTGGCGTCAGTTCAAATGAAATTTACACTCTTATCAACAGCATGACAGTGCACATGAAAGTTGTTTGATTAAGACACGAATGATTTCTTGATTTTAAATGGATTGGACACTTTCTGATGTATACTTTTACTAACTAATATATCAAATGCATGTTATCCAGGAAAACAAGGATATTCTGGGAGATGGTTATGAAGGTGATGTTCTCGGGGAATCAACACCAGATGTTATAGTCAGTGAATTTGTATGTTTCTTCTCTTTTAACTTTCAAGTAAATGATTATTCTGTTCTTATCCCCAAATTCACTTATATGCATTTTGATTTCACATGCATATTACATGTTATATTCCAAACCGATAATAAGGGTTTGTTTGTTTGTGCATTTAAGGAAAAAATCAATTTTTTTTATTTTGTAAAGAAAAATGAATTTAAAAGACATGATTAAATTTTTTTTGTGATAATTGGATTTTTCTTTTAAAAAACAGTAACAGTCTCAGGAATTTTAATGTTTTTCTCTAAAGCTAGAAAGTAACTTCTAAAACAAAGCAATGACATCAAAGTGTGTTAGGATATAGAATAAAGGGAATTAGAATAGTTATTAGTTAGAAAGATATCATGGGCTAGGCCCATCACATCTATAAATAGGAGGTTACTTGGTAGAGGGGAAGATTCAGATTTGTTCACATTTGTAAATTGAGCATTAGCTCTTTGTGAAACGAGAAATCCTTTGTGAAGGGGAAACCCTTGGAGGAGATATTTCTCTCCTATTTTTTGTTCTTTTCAACATATTCAATAAAATCTTTCTTTTCTTTATCTTTCCTAATTCTTGGTTCCTAACAAAGTGTTTTTTTCTTCAAAACTTATCCTACTAATACATGGGCTTAGCAAGGATACGCTCTCATGCATTTCACTCGCCTCACTTATATCATTGATGTCACATGAGAATTGATAATTCCTAACGGATTATTTGTCATTCAAATCACAGTTTCTATCTGATTGTAGACACGATACATTTATTGAGAAGTTAAAAATTAATACATAATTTCATAGTATTTTTTGGCTTGTCTTGGAGTTCTCTGACTAGGTTTGCAGCTGTACTTTTAGAATATCAATCACGTCTCTCTTTAAAAGGCTGGGTTTTTGCATCTCTTTTAAGTTTTAATGTAAAGAAATTCTATGTAATTAATATCTCACTTGGCTTTTGCAGATCAGATAATCATTGTCCACTTTTGGTTCCATTTATTTTTCATTTCCATAAAAGCATTTTTTATATAGTTCTCTGTTGATTGAATGCACGTTTTACATCATGCTTTAAAATTTTAAGTAAACCCATCATCATTTTCTACTCTAATGTTGTGTCTTAAAATTTACTGTTTAACATCAAAGAAAAGAGCAAGATATTAACCAGTTGATCATGTTCTTATTTTTGTTCCTACAATTTGTCAAACGCAAGATTGATATGATAGATAGTTTCGTCTTCTTGATCAATCAAAATATCATTTTTGAAGAAGTTATTGATTAGTGCAAGTGTACGTAGTTTTATACTAATGCCAATTTACTCTGTATCCCTGACATTAAGGCATGATATGGTACTTGGAAATTATAAATCCTGTCTCTGCCCCCTGTTGTAGCATATATTTATCCTTTGGATCTAACTCGATAGATCTTCCCCGTAATAATTGAATTCTTCTCAATCTACTGAAATGTGCTATTTTTATCACGTTGACATATTCTTCCTTTTAAGAATTTAGAGTTGGTCTTTCTTATGTGTTCACCATTTCCAATTTTGACGTGTCCAGTTGAAGGGTGAGAAGGAGCTTATTGAGAGGTTGTTACAAACTGAAATAAATATATTCCGCTCAATCAGAGATGGAAGTGCTCTGATGCAGCATATGGAGGATTTCTATTACATAACGTTACTAGAGGTACAGTGCATTCTCTTTAAACTATTTAATGTATTACTTACCTAATTCTTCCATTCTGCTGGTAGTTATTACCATTCTTGTCTGATTTTAGTGGTAGTTTAGCTTACTTGGAAAAAAAGGTCTTTGGGGGGAATTACTGATTAAGTAGTTCAGATGGATTTTTCTTAAAGTAGGCGTATAATAGGAATATTAAAAGAATGAAATATATGAAATGACATTTTTCTGTCTTTTACTGCTTTATTTCTTTTAAGGAAAAAATAAATTTCTTAAGAACTGACAAATGCCTATTTTGATATTCTTTCTGGCTTTTTCAAATTATTCATCATTCAGTTTAGGTGTATGATAAACTCCTTGCCATGATTATATTGATTTTTATATATAACAAATATCAACTAATATGTTGTGGGTATCCATTTTAAGTATTACGTATGCTTTGATTCACACGGTACAGCACGATATTTCGTTGTTGGTTATATTACCCATCTTGAGATATGGAAATGTATAAAGTTGTTTCAGCTAAATTTGTAGGAACTTCTTCATCCTCTTTTGTGAGATTTAATAATCAAAGATAATTTGAATTGGATGTTATGTTAGTCCTCCAAAGATACAAGTGACATTTATTCGGTCCTCGAGAAAGTAACTTTAATTTTGTCCTTCAATTTTGAAAGTGACATCAAAATTTTCCTTTTGTTCTGGACTTAATGGAACAATTGGTGTTCACAGGTTAAATTGATGTCCATTTTCTTTATAGAATCAAAATGATGTCGTTTTCTATGATTAAAGATCATATTGATGTTCAACTTTGTTTAGAGGACCAATTTACATCACTAGTATCTTAAGGGACTAAAATAGGAATTGACTGCTTTTTTAGTGATGTCATTATGCAATTTCCTTTTTATATATAGTTAGTTCATTCTTTTTTCTTTCTGCTGTTAACGTATGGCACTGTGTTATTAATTATTTCAGAATGTAAGATCAAATTACCAAGTTGTCTCAAGGTCAGAACAGGATCAAAACTATAGCATATAATAAACCAAGGGTCTGCCCTTACAAGGCTGAACAGCAGAAGTCTTCCATGCTCGACTTGAAGTATGTTTGAGCATATATTTATTTGAGGCCACTTTTATTGCAGCCAATTCTTTACTGGCATGGTAGGTTGTACTCTCTGTTAACTGTAATATTTGCATTTTGCTTACCTTTTAAAAAGCTGTAAAAATCTTCTCGTTGGGTTGTGCAATAGTTGCGCATAATTCACTAAAAGTAGTTATTTATTCTTTTCTCATCAAGGAAACAACTTGAATGTGGCTATATGTGGCATGGTTAACATTCTCTGAAGAACATTTTCAGTTTTATTTATTAAATTTAAATGTATTGGCAGCGAGCAAGATGGCAGCAATGCAGTATATTCAGTATAGTTTGCAAATGGAGCTGAAAGGAATGATGAGTTGCTGGCGACTGCAAGGAACGAAAATTCCAAACAAAATTTATAGTTTTAGTATTGTAGTTATTTGCCTTGTGATGATAGAAATTGATGTTATAGCATGCGTGACGCGTCAAATAGTCAAAGATAGACTTGTAGTGTGTCATGTCCAATTATTGTTTTGAACTCGAGCATTTATAGTCTCCCAAAATGTAACATGCTGTAAATATGCTTATATCAAGTGTTTTCATTCTTTTTCTTGGGACTAACATTTTTATTGGATTGTGTTGTATTCATTATATAATGTTGAAAGATTCGGTTATTGTTGAGATGAACTATATACTCCAAGTAAGGAGTCTCTAATTTTTTACAGTAGATTCATTTGGGAGGAGTCTTAAGCAATTTTAAGAGGATAATCCGTGTTGCTGGTATTTATTTGGACCACGTTACCATTTCCTAAAGAAGTGATAAAAGATGCGCGGAAAACACTAATTTTGCTATGATTAATTATTAACAAAATTGGAGGTGAACGAGAAATTAGAGGAACCGATCCGAATGTTCGAGTTGAACAAAACTGCACCACAAAAAAAAATCAATATTTTAGCAAATATATCACCAAGTTATTTCAAGGGAGCAAACTAGCTCAGTGAGAAACTTATTCGAACTTGCCTAAATCTTTTTTTTTTTTTCATGACTCAACTCGAGAACAACCTGATGCAGTTTAGATAATACACAATGTTGAATCGTATACACAACATGGTAAACACTCGAAATTCAAATACATCAATAAGATTCAAAATATTGTAAGCCTTCATCCCACTACACCTCCCCTCACATGCATCTTTACATATCAAAACTATAGATAAGCGCTGAAGTATAATCAGAATGAGATGTTCACATAATGTGAATTAAAAACATTACAAACAGCCCCTCTAAGTTCCCAAGCGAACCATCTGCTATAATGCTTCCTTGGGTCATAAAAACATGCTTGTATTATCTTTATACCTTCAAAAACAATCAATTTACAAAGCAACAATTCCTTTAGAAACTAATTTCCAAGAGGGAGCTGGCCCCTCTGAGGTGAGCATTTCACTTTAGATGACAGTAATTTCAGAAGTTAATGAGAAATCAACAATCAATATTATGCTAGATTTTAACAAATCATGAACATGTTACAATATTAACAGTTAATTTTCTCATGAATAACTGATGAATTTTAACCTACTACAGCTAGAAGCATCCTTCACATCCTACATTTATAACAGTGCCTCACTAAAACATTCAGCAGAAAAATGCATCTCTAGTTTATTTGATTTAAAATTCAAGATAATCTTAAATTCTTAACTCACTGAAATTCAATAATAGATACACTTCATCTTTGTTTTTTTTTCCACTCGCTTTAAAGAAAAACCGAAGAACTTTTTCCCAGGTAGATTAAGCTCTGCCACAAAACCCACTAAAACAGAACAAACACTCAAGCAAAACCAAGAACGAATAACCAAGACTAACAGAAACACCATCAGAGAAAAAAAAAACGAAAAAAAAAAAGAAGAAACAACACAATAATCATATACACCAAAAGAATAAAAACATTAAACAGCAAAAATCAAAACAACCCATAAAAGAAATTGTAGAAAAGAGGGCGAATCATGACGAAAGAGCCATCCATCATATTAACGCGATAATCCCAGAGAGAAATTACATATTTTTTTCTCCATGATGGAGAAGAAAATACAAGATACCGAAAGCCTAAGTGAGAAATTATTGAAGGCGAAAGGCATTGACGAGGAAAGGGGTGTTAGTTGATATCAGAATCATCGAAATCGTCTTGGAAGGTGTTGAAGAAATCGGCGTCGGCGAGTTTGTTGTCGGCGGCCATGACGCCCTCGGCGAAGATCTCGAGAGGGTCGACGTCGTCCACATCCATAGCCATCGCCGATACCTGCTCTTCCATCTCTCCGAACAATTCCATTGCTCTCATCATCTCTCTCTCTCTAATCACTCGGAGCGACAAATTAGGGTTTTATATGAACCAAGCGATGCTCAGAAAAAAAACACGTCGTTTTGGTCACTGCATTAACTCTAGTGTTTTTTTAACACAGGTTCCAGATCATAAACACGGTTTTACAACGTTTAATTGAAATTTATATTTTTAATATAATGTGACAGTATTAAGTAATTATTAAAAAAATAAGGAGAAATTGATTTTATCTTTAAATTTTTGAATAATAAAAATAATATTAAAAATTAATCATCTATATAAATACTTAAGTAAATTAATTATTTTTAACCAATCATTCTTATTTTTATAATAATCATTATTATTTTATCTCAATTTCTATTTTGTTTTCAAATTTTTAAATAAAACATAAAGGTACAGAATATTTCTCCACTGATGACTAGTTAAATAAAAAATATAATAAATGAGACAACTCCTTATGATAATCGTTTTTAGTTTTTATTTTTACATAAATTATTTTTCTTTTATTTTTTTACAACTTTTTAAAATAACTTTTTTTAATAAGTAACTTCTCATTTTTTTATATTATTTTTTTGTTTTAAAATTATAATAATTACTCGTAATGATATTTTTTTTCTTTTAATACAGTGTAGACACCAAATACCTTTTTTCTGATAGTTAAATAATAATAATAATAATAATAATTTATTATTATTATTATTATTATTATAGTTAATATCTTTTTTCTATTTTGAAAAGGTTTTAGAATACTTTTTAAGAAGAAAAATGATAGATTATGGTCAAAGCCAAAGAATCTAAAAGGTGATATCTTAAAAGAACTAAGAGGAATGGTGTGATTTTAAAGACCTTTTCATATGTTTGTACATATAGTAGTTTCTTTGCATAGGCTTATTTTTGCTTTTGTATTTGTAAGACACTTTACTTACTTTTATTAGTGATTGTATATTGATTTTAGGGTAGGTTACTTAGAGAGTTTAACTCCATTTAACCTCTCTTGTTGATACACTCATTTTCTATTTTTTCAGTAGGGAAAAAGGGGTGGCATTTAGCAATACTTGAGGGTGTGAATAGAAAATGGGCTAGAATTGGGCCTAGGCAAAATTTTACGTATTGGACTCATTTTCTCCTAATTTTTCATAGGTTTGATCTAGCTAAGTTTCATCATTTTTGGATGGACCTAACTAGACCAAAACAAACAATTTTGAAAATGAATCATGGAGCAAATGAGAGCCAAATCTGCCTAGCCTAGTTTCCCTCTCCTTGGCCGAAATTTGTTCTTCACTTAGGCTTTGTTTGGATTTGAGGATGGAAAAGGGGGAGTGGAAAAGGAGGGATTTGAAGGGAAAGTGAGTGGAAAATGAGGTTGTTTGGATTAAGGGAAAGTGAGTGGAAAGTGTAGAGAAAGTTTGTGAAAGTTTGTGAGTAAATTGATTGATGTGATAGATAAAAATAAATTTTTTAATTGATAATTGTGTAAGATTACTATTTTGCCCTTTGGTTAAAAAAAGGTTTTTAATTATTATAATTAAAAGATAAATATATAAATTTTAACTAAAAAAATTATAAAATATTAATTTAAAAATAATTTAATTTAAATATTTGCTTTAAATTTAATGATAGATAAAAATTAAAAATTTAATAGATGAATATATAATTTACACTTTTACCGTTGGATTAAAAATGAGTATAATATTATTTATTGTAAATAATAATAATTACAATAAAATTATATTAATAGGTATAATTTATTAAAAAAATAATAAATAATGATAAGAATAATAATAAATATTAGAAAAATGATAAGAATCATAATAAATAATAATGATACTAATTATAATAAATAATAATAATATTAATAAAAATGAAAATAATAATATTTATAATAATAAATAATAATAAAATATATTATGATAATTATATTTTGTAAAACAAAATTTGATACCGAGAACGGGTCGTTCTCAGACCAGAACAGGTCGTTCTGAGGTTACAAATTAATCCACAACGTCCATCTATGAAACGGCCCGTTCCAAAACTAGAACGGCTCGTTCCCAAAGTAGAACGGCTCGTTCCCAAAGTGGAACGGCCCGTTCTGAGTTCGCATTTTGCACATAAAATTCATTTTTGGAACGGGCCGTTCTGGGTTCCTGTTGTAATACTATAGAACCAATGTTCAATAAATTCACTCAATAAAGATAACGGTCTATGATTTTCTTATTGAAAACTGAAACTTACAACCAGTAATACATAATTATGGGAATAGATAATCCAAGTCAACATGACATTGGCCAAGAGGGAGAGAAGAAACATAATTTAGAAAGTAGTACAGACATACAAGTTACACACACACAATACAGTTACTATGTATTATATATAAAATACATATTACAGTTACTAATCATTAACCATTCTTATTTTCTGTTTCATTGATCAGCAACTTCCATGTTTTGCGCCTCTCACGGTTACTACGTCTTGGTTTAGATATGTTATTTTTGTGCCCACTTGCAGTTATCACAAAATCCATGTCAATACTCCCTCCTTTGAAATTGGCCTTGTCCTCAAGGTCAAATGAAGGAAATGCTGCCTGTATGAATGAAACAGATTCCCAAGTGCTGTCAGCCTCAGACATATTAAACCATTGAACTAAAATTTGATCTGTCCAACGACCCTGCTGCCATATGCGTCGAGAATCTAGAATTTGGACAGGTTGCATAGGAGAATCATCCGCAGCAGAAATCTTAGGCAGGGGAAAATATTGGCCAGATGGATCACCAATACACTGTTTAAGAAGGGAAACATGAAAGACTGAATGTATTCGAGCAGTAGGAGGCAATAACAAGCGATAAGCAACCTTACCAATGCGTTCCACCACAGAAAAAGGACCAAAGTAACGAAGTCCCAATTTCTGATGACGATGAGCACGCAATGTAATTTGCCGATAAGGCTGGAGCTTAACATAAACCAAATCACCCACATTAAACTCAATATCAACTCGCTTCCGATCTACAATCTGTTTCATGCGATTCTAAGCACGAGCAAGGTTATGCTTAAGAGTGCGTAAAATCACATCACGTTGTTGTAACAATTGGTCAACCTCCGGAACAACAGAAATAGCAGAATCTCGAATCAAAGAAGGTGGTAGGCGCCCATAAATAATCTGAAATGGTGTCATACCTGCAGAAGTTTGATACGCAGTATTATACCAAAAATCTGAAATGGTTTTGATTAGTTGTTTAAGCATAATAGTGATTTTGTAGTATGAGATGAAAGGTTTATATAGGCATGTGTGTGCATGAATTTGGTGAATGATGCATTGTACACCATTATACTGAATTGGTACTAAGAGGGAAGAAGACTGATCACATTCCTTCTCATCTTGGTTAAGTGAAGTATTATGGCATGCAACTCATTATTCCAAGCATATGTATCTGAAAGTAATGTTTGTTTGTGTGTTGATACATGTTGCATTTCATATGGTGGTGAGTTGTGAGTATTGCATGGAAAGGAATAGGATGGATAGGAGATTGAAGGATAGGAACATAAGATAAATCCGATCTTTCTAAGTGAATTTGAGGTTGTTTTAGAGCTTAAGGAGTTGAAATACTTCAAGAAATAGGATATTTGAGGTGAATAGGTGCTAAGGGTGAAATTTGGAAATTTTGGAAAATGGCTATATATAGGGACTTAGGACCGGAGGATTTCATTTGTCAGACAGAGACAGTTTCTAGAGAGAGAAAGTAGAGAGAGGGGCTCTGGTCCGGAGGGAAGCTGAGGACATATTTGGGAAGCTTATCAAGCCAGGATCAATCTTCACAACTGGAGTTTCAAGAGATTTGGTCTCTAAAGTCTTGAAAAGTGAGATTAAAGTTTGAATTGGGAATTTGAGGGTTTTGTCCAAATCTTGCATTTCTGAGGTTTCTAAGGTAAGGGTAGTACTTATAAGACTTAATCTGGTATGTATGGGTTTGAAATATCACATTGATTCCATGTTTTACGCATGATTGAGGGGAAAAGATTTTGGCTAGGGTTTTCATGATTTCTTCATGATTTCTATGGTATAATGGTTAATACTTGATTTTATTGCTTAAAATGTTGTTTTTGGATAGTGTTTATGCTTTGTAATGGTTCAAATTCGTATATTTTGGATTGGATTCATGATTGGAAGGAATTTTTGAGGTTTTCGAGGGTTTCTGGTCGCTAGTGCGCCGGGCTCAGTTCTTCGCGCCGGGCTTAAATTCATCAGAGACCATTATTGCCAAATCACGCCGGGCTCGAGTCTAGTCGCGCCGGGCTCAATTTAAAACCGAGGTCTCTGTTTGAGTTTTTCGCCGGGCAGAATATTAGTGCGCCGGGCGTGAGTATTTTGGTTTTGAGGTCTTCATGAAAGTTGTAGCCTTGGATGTTAGATTTCCAATGGCGTTGGAATCACCCAAAAATGAGGTCTAGAACTCCAGATATGACTGTTTTAGTGGACAGGGGTCAAGCTGTCAGCATTGGTTATAGTTGTTGCGGTTTTTAGAATTTTTAACAAACTGGATGATGGAATTATGACTTGATGTCTTCATAAGAGTTGTAGGAAATCTTCTTATCTTCCATATGAGATAATTATGAGCATGATAGGAGGAGTATAACTCTTAATATGCTATTTTATGTGAAGATTGTCATTTCACAAAGGGTAATTTGGTTAAGTTGAAAATTGTTTTGGGTATTTAATTATTTATGTTATCATATTGAATGAATTGGCATGGTTATGGTTATGTATATATAATTATGGAATATGCTATGTGTATGTGGTTTGGAAAAGTAAATAGGACTTAGAGGAGTAAGGTTATGGTATGGATTGGGAGATCTCTTGGTGAGATCAGGATATAATCTTTGGAAAACTATGAAATTTGGGAATCCCATGGTGAGGATTCCAATAAGGAACTTTTCCAAGGATTATATAATAAACCACTTCAGATGTTAGGTGGATTCTGAAGTACTCCTCTAAGTATCCTATTTGCTACCGGTATGGGTCTAGGCCGAGTCATACCGATGGATGAGGTGGCCTCACCAGGGTTACGTGACGACGTAATCCAACTGTATATTTTCCATGAGAGGTT